ACTTATATTAGAAGGGGCTTTTTGGGGCAAGTGGATTAGGGAAATGGATGCTTCAGTTTAGATTATGTCATCTCAGGGTTAGTAGAACACAGGATTGTACGGCAAACAGGTTGAAAAAGGGGAAGTATGAGGCAGGGTGTGAGAGTGAGGGAGAGGAAATGCATTAAGGGACAAAACAACTCACACATTCACACATAGAGGGAGAGTCAGAAAGAGACATAGAGGGACAGAGAGACGCACGTAGAGAAACAGAGAGACACAGCGAGACTGGTGGGGATGGGGGAAGTGGGCAAAGAGGGGAAGAGAAAGAGGCGAAGACGACAGACGGAATTACAGAGAAAAGAGACAATGGAGGGAGGGGAGAGAAAAAGGGAGAAAAAGAGATAAAAGTAGAGACACGAGGGAATTACAGACAGAAATAGCGAGCTGACTGGCGAGGAACACTTATAGTCAGAGAGACGCGACGTGCATACCGCTTACACGGACAACAAAAGTGTCAACAAAAAGGCGCCTGACAGTCGCATACACAAGCCACTTTCTTCAGCTCCATATGGTCTACTGGCTAACAGCGAATACAGCGAAACGCCATAATTGCACATACCAGTGGGCACTAGGCGTGGGTATGGCCAATATCACAACGGTCGCCTTTGCCTCACAGAGTAATTCCTACTAGGCATTGTGGGTTGAGTCGACACAAGCACCCAAGAATAACTATAAAAATCGCAGTCTCGGTGAGTTTCGAAATCATGCCAGTCGCAGCAGCACAGTGAAGGGTTAGCCACTGAGCCACATTTCTATGAAATGACTGGCACTTCAGAGAGTAGGTAGGGTTCGTGTCGGAATGATTCCGGTGCCAGTGCCCTCTTCAGTCTCGAGTAGACTGGTCTAGAACACCGGTTTTTTTTTTTTAATGTGGCTCAGTCTCTCTCAGCAGAACGACTACCCGTCTGCCGACAGCGTCGCTGTGAAACCAAAACAATGACCTTCAGAGTGCGAGGCAAACGGCTTGACCAGTTCACCACGTGATCCCCTGTTATTCTATTTTTTTTTTAAAACGACAGTGTAACCCCCCCCCCCCCCCCCCCCCCCCCCCCTTTTCCTCTTTTTTAAAACCCAACTCCTCGACCCTGGGGGAGTGAGGCTGGTGTTTTTAACCTTCTTGGACAAGGACAACAACTCTGAGGACTCACGGTCAGACTACCAAATGTTCCCCACCCCTCTCTCCCTCCCTCGGCAGTTGGGCACTGAGATGAGCAGCAGAAATGTTACCCCTCCCTCTCCCCGCTCCGTGTTCACGGTATCCAAACATGGGGTCCACGATGGAGCTATGGAGTTGGTGTACCGTCCTGTAATTCTAGTTTATTACCTACGAAAAGAGACTTGACACTTGTGGAGTTTTTCCGTGTGCTAGGAAACAGATGCTCAGTAAACAAACATACAATCAAACACAAGTAGGGTTATTTAATTTAACTAGTAATGTCTTTGTACTGGAACCAGCAGGGTTAAATGAGTAA